AAATTTAGTCCCTTACCATCATCAATGCAAGCAGCTGGAGCTTACACACTTATGCTTCGTGGATGATCTTCTTATATCCACAGAAAGCTCAACCAAGACTTTATATGGGGTGAGGAGTGTATTGAATGTCTTTAATCAGCTCTTTGGTTTGCAATGTAATCCATGTAAGTGTGAAATGTTCTTTAGAGGATTGGCTCATCAATTTAAGCATATTGCTCTACAATCCTCTAGCTTTCATGAAGGGCATCTTGTTGTGTGGTATTTGAGACTTCCTTTGATCTTTGGTTAATTATCTATCGATACAGGCTTAGAGAGGCCTCTATCCTGGGGAACGTTTTGCCCGCGTCTCGCTTCTCTTTGCTTTGTTCCTCTGTTTTCATAACCGGACCGGAGGCTGAACCGGAAAAGTTAGTGGTTTAGCGTACAATGGTTTACCGTTACAAAACCATTGGTAAACCGTTGATAGAACCGTTCATGATATATAACATACAAGACTTGTATATTACACTAATTTAAGAATGAAGTTATCGTTGATCATAAATAATTTTAAATTCATATCATCACCAAAATATCTAATAAATCATTGAAACCGTCTCACAGAAGAAATCATAATTTTTTTAATTCAAGTTAAAAATTATGGTGCCAGTTGGTAGTGGATCACGTAAAAACGACAACAAGGTTGAAAAATGAGCAGATGTATATAAAATAAATAATCATGACTTGATGGTATTAATTTATGTTAAAATATTTTTAAATACTTTTGTGCTTAAATAGTTAACTAGTGGACTAGTTAAACCACTGTGGCTCATGTGGTTTTATGTTGAACCGTGAAATTGTTTGGTCCATCAATAACCGTCCAAGCAATGAACCAGACCTCTATCATAACTGGTTTGACAGTTCTACTTCTTATAACAATTTTTTTCTCATTATGTCGTCGTATTCCCTCCCTGGGGAGCTCCTCCAAAACCATCACCTCTTCCATCAGGATAGCTCACCTCACCAGCTTGTCGAGGTCGATCCACAATCGGAAGTTGTGTTTCGTCTTTAGAAGTGAGCATTTCACCTCCTTAGTGTGGGTTTACATTCTCAAGTTTCAAAAGGCCACGGCGGGAGAGATGCCTTGTATCTTGCTTGATAAGGAGTTTCATCTGCCATAGAACTCAGATAACGTTTCGCTTTTCCCCTGTTGACAGTTTCAGCGCCAAAATTATGAGTTTTTGCATTTCTGTGAGGCGTGCTTAGAGGCAAACAGGAAGGCAAACTACTCAAATGTCTCAATGAAGCCTTCCGGGAGCAAGGTGTACCAAGTACGGCACTGCCCTCCGAACGTAACAGGAAACACCTTTCACATTTCTGCATCCGATGCGTTTATTAGCTACATTTTGAGGACGAAGGAGCTGAGATGATTTGATGGGTTGGTTGTGCCATCATACGCCGGTAGTCCCAATGAGGAGAAGTTATGCGGCATCGGGCTTTTGAAGATACTTCTATTGAGTGGATTGTACAATATACTGGGGCTCTTGTTGGGACAATATGAGGGCACTAAGTGCATCTCTAGTACCCAAGGTCCGGCTCTGTATCATGCTTTTCTTTTTCTTCTTCTGGGTCATCTCACTCCTCTATACTGATAGGCAATGCAATCAAAATCGTGATTCTACGTAGAAGCATTTTGGTGACAAGAAGCGTAAAAACGTAAGTTTTGAGCTTTAAAGCGTAGATTTTGACTACAATTGTAAGTGAAAAGTGTGATTCTACGTAAAACCGTTTTGGTGACCTAGAAGTGTAAAAGCATCAACTTTTAAGTTTTAAAGCGTGATTTTGACTCCAGTGCTGATAGGGGCCTTTTCTTTCTCATTGGGATTGGGGCCAAGATCTGTGATTTCTTCTGTTTGTGCTCTTGGAGAGTTATATGTCCTATTGAGTATAGTCAAGATTTGTGTCAAGCTTTCTTGCATATTGTAAATATGTTGTCCATTATTTTTACTTGAACTTCTAGTTTCACTTCGTCGTCTACCAGAGGTGCAATGTTGTCGACTGCTCCCATGTGTGCTGCTTTGTCGTCGATAATATTGTTCCACGGGGTTCAAGAAGTTTCTTCCATGAAAGTAGGTTACCGCGAACTCGATCGCGGCCCCACAGTGGCGCCAAATTGTTTAGTTCCCAAATTACTTGGGGCTTAAACATTGAGGGTGTGATCACGTTCGTGATGCGTCCTCATACTCCCAAGGAGTTTGGAATTCTTCGATCCTGCACAAGTCATCCTCGGAAGGGTACGCACAAGACACTCTTCGAAGGTTAAGTTAGAGAGAAATATTTGAGTTTTGTTTAGAGATGAGAGGGTAGTTGAACATAACATTAATGAGAGTCGAGCCTTTGTTTATACTTACGTTTTAGTGGCAGAGCACGTTTAATGTCGTGTCAGGCGTCCATTTTACCTCGACCAATCGTAGACTAGAGCGTCTCTACGAGCAATAAATGTTAGTCTCGGATTCCGTAGTGAGCACTAGACCCAAGACGACATTGGGAATGCTCCTAACACTAGTGTTGCTTCGAAGACCGCATTGGGAACAGTCTCAGTAAGTAGGGGTGAAAATCTGTATGTTATCAGTACCCCAATACCAAATACCGAAATACCGAATACCGAATTACACCCTGAAATCAATACCAATCTCAATCCCTAAATAATTTCAATATCCCAATCCCAATCCCTAAATATTTCGGTATCCCAATCGGTACCTGGGTATCCCAATCGGTATTATCAAATAAAAAATTAATTATCTTTACAATTAATAATTAAATATATAAATTAGATTTTATTATTTAATTTAGAGCAAAGAGATCAAGCAAAGATTCTTGAGTTGCCTAGAGCTAACATCTCAAGTTTTTGTAATTGATAATCTTTAATTTGATGAATTTGAGGTTGGGAGACGACTAATACTAATGTGAACTAGTGATATAATGATCTACGTATAATTAAATAGCACTCTTGGTGGTTGAGGGTCGCGTAGTAGTGAATGAGAGAGTCTAGTTGAGAGAAAAAATACACACTAGCTTATATTTCGGTATTGCTCGGTATTTTGGTATATACCGATCCCAATCCCGTAATTCCTAATACCGAATAACAATTGAAACTCAATCTCAATCCCAATCCCACGAAATAATACGTGTATTCGGTAATATTAAATATAGAAAAATTCGGTACGGTATTCGATATTCCAAATACCGGTACCAAACTTCCAACCCTTTCAGTAAGGCTCCATGAGACGGGTTGCTCCAAGTGTCTTGCTACCTGTCTTGGGCTTAGTTGGGCCGAGCATCAGTTTCCTTCGTGGACTTTCTTTTGGGCCTTCTGTTGGAGTAGTTGGCTTTTTACACGCATTGCCATGACCCAACAATAGTTGTAATGGAATTGCGATGCCGAGAGGTGATGTTTTTTAGATTTATTTTGTGGGTTATTATGGAGTACTTATTTTTAGGTGTTCAAATGGTTACCATGGTTATTACCAAATCAAATAAGGCAAAATTTCATTAACCATGGAATGCAATATCATAACCAAACCGTCCAAACTAATACAACAACCAAATTAACCAAACTAAAGTTTAATCGGTTTGGTTAATTGGTTAACCAGATTAACCAATATAAAATCATATTATCATCAAGTGAGAAAATTTTCGGTTAATTTATCAATTCACAATTTATATAATGAATAAAACATAACAATCAACACATAGTTATAGTTGACCCTTAATATAAATACATGCAACTAAGACAATTATCGTACGGTTAGTATAGTAGTATTCACATAACAAAAATTTATCACAATGGTATGGATTAATGAAATGTTGTGTTTGTTTGAATTGACTTAGTCTTTTAGTAATTTTCATAGGCTGAAAAGGACCTTGCTTTCAAGTTTCATCCAACATAATGTATGAGATTTATCTAAATTAGGCGGTCATATGTTGTGGTCTACACTCTACATATACAAATATACATTATAGGAACAATATCAAGCTTTTTATTTTATGAGTCTAAAAGGATGAACATTTAACTCTTGAGTGGTTATTCAAAGTATTAAGTATGTGTATATATTAGATATATAACTAATTATTTATCTGGTTAATTTGGTTTGGCTGGTTAGGAGTGTCTGAAACCAAACCAACCCACCTAAACCAAACAAGCTAAAAACTTTAACCAAACCAAACCAGTTATCCAAATTAACAAAACCAAATTATCCAAATAGTACTGGTTAAAACGGTTACCATGGTAACCACACCGTTTGAACACCCCTACTTACTTCCAACTTTCAAGAGCTATTGGGGGCTGTTGGGAGCTGTTTGAATATGTGGAGCATGCAGCTGGGCACAAGAACAATGTGGCAGCCTCTTTGGTGAAAGTTAGCATTGGAATTCCTTATTTTGCAGAAGGGTTATAGGTATAATATGTCCCTCTCTACCATTATATTTTATCAAACATGCCTCTCTATTATTTCTTATATCAAACATGTTCCTATACTTTAGAACAATTATCAAACATGTCATTCTGTTGAAATTTTCTTCCAAAAATCGTTAACCACGACCAAATTTTGATTTGGGCAACTCAAATGTCTAAAATATTCATAATAATTTCACTTTAGATTTTTTTTTTTTTTTTGTTCTTTTGTATAGCCAAATAATTCTAATAATTTCACTTTGACGAGACCCAGAAAAATAAAATAGGGTTCAAAACTTACATTTTCCCTCCCATTTGTCGATGTCCGGTCTTCTAAATCTTGGTTCAACCATGATTGACGATTTTTCAATGAAAATTTCAACAGAAGTGCATGTTTGATAATTTTTCCAAAGTACAGAAGCATGTTTGATGTAAAAAATAGTAGAGAGGTATGTTTGACAAGACGTTATAATAGAGAACTGTAACCAAGAGACAATAAGTAGTATTGATATTGGATATGATTTCTGGACAAGCTTGGTATACGGGTATGGCTGGTGATTGTTCGGGCTAGACACTTTTTACAAATTTAATAGAGGAAAGATTGAATTATGTAGTAGCAATGCACAATGAGGTTATCCCTGGAAAAAACAGTTCAGAAATTACAAACATATCCGAAAGACAACATGAGGAAATCCGAATCAACAAATTCGCTGAATAACTCTGATGCATATGATTTATATCCGTCTATGTCGAATATGATTTGCCCGATTCCTCATTGAAATTCAAGCTTTTGTAACAGCACCATGAAAAATATTGAGCGCTCTCGTTGGTGAAATCTATGTGCCGAGGTGTGAAGGACCTACCTACAAAATTGAATGTCATATCTGATATCTCCACAAGAGTTTCTTTCATCCAACTGCTGGTTCCACATTATCATAGATCAGCTTCGACAGTATATCGACCCAAGTGTCTGGGACGCCAGGCAGACACCAATGCATGCAGTCCTGGCCCCAAACTGCCACAGCGTCTTTCTTCCCAAGCCAAATCGCTGGGTGGGCATCCGCTCTGAACTCACTCAGATGTGTCAAATCCAGTAACTTTATGTCCCTGCCTTCCAGTGTATCCTCGATTACCCGATTGATTTGTCTTGCTTCCCGGTTCACTCCATTCCTTTCGGGGTTAAACCAAGTATCAAGCTGCAAAAACAGTATCAAACAAGGAGATAACAAAGATGAGCATCATTTTTTTTTTTACAAGTAATGATGAGCATAAGTATGGTTTCAAGCTAACAATTTCACGGAGGGATATAACACATTAATTAATGGTATAACCTCATTCTCCCTGAGGGGTTTGGTGAACAAGCAACTTCCATTCTGATTCCATTCACCACCATAAAAATGCCTCGGCGATTGTAGGCGCCAAAACTTGACCGTCTTCTTTGGAACTTGTTGTTCAATATACGAAACCATGTTCTCGAGAACAATCTTCAGCCCGTCAAACAACCCAAGAGGGGGATACACTGGTTGCCCTCCACGGTAAAAAACAAGAGGTGCCTCCTTTGGGAATTTAGCATAACTCCACCTGCACAAAGTCCAGGTAGGCCAAAGAGTAGTATCACCACATTGTTGACCTTGTTAAGGGGGGAAAAACAGTTCAATTTGAACAAATTTATGTCTCTCAGCATTAGATATGCATTCTAACAAAAGTGTTCCTTTGATACATCAATGAGTCAGGACGTGAATAAGAAAGAAAAAAGAACTCCAGGAACATACAAAAATATGGGAGGGGCACCTAAAGCAATACAAAGAGATACTACCATTGCATCGCTAATATGTTTGTGAATTCCAGTCAAGAGTGAAGGAATTACCAATGTCCTGTGTTGAAAATGAGGACGTCATAAAAGCTGGTAACGTTGGCCCACTCGTCCCCGGGTACATCAATGTCTACTCGATGAGTTCCCTTCACTCCCTCATTGGTCAGATGCATACCCTTTTGGCTGCCACCTTAAATGGATCAGATATGAGCAAGTGATGACATCAAATTTTGCAAAGCTCAGTACACAGGGGCAACTGAACACGAACTGCTACAAATGGGGATGGCTTAAAGAAAAAACACAAACTGCTCCCATTTGTCCAACCTAAATCATTTCAAGATAGAAAACCAGTGAAAACAAAACCAGTAGAGATAGGTAACAATTTCATTGAAGAATGAGAGCACTGGTAATTACTACACCACCACATTGTCCGAAGTCTACCAACAGCATGTGTGAGACAAGTAACTTGTTCACTAAGCCAATAACTTTCAATCCCTCCATTCTCAAACCAATATGCTTCTCTTCGTATTAACGCTGCTGAGCGCCTAAATAATATCGACATAAGTTTACTTCCCACTGCTTCAACCGTTAAATCAATCAGTTGCATCATTCTTCCACCCCACCAGATATAATGTAATGAAGTTGAACAGTGGCATCAGCGAACCAATAGGTTGGTCATGCAGCAAAACTGGGAAGTTTCTCCTTTCTAATGGTTTGCCTACATGTACCACACGCTAAATACCCCAAATTGGTGCAAATTACTTCACAAGAAGTGTTTGCCATCTGGAAATTTTTCTGACTGTAAAAATTGCACTGTAGTGTCCAAACTAGCATCGTGAACCTAAACAAGCAAAAAGGCAACACAGCAGCAGTTCTCAGGAAACTCAGAACCAAATGCAAAAGGAAGTGGGAACTCACTTATATTTAGCAAGCAGCACTGAACGGTGATAGGCAACAACGACGTTGAACTTGGGGAAATAAGCACCGCGCCATGCCCCCTTCTTCTTCCACTTCCTAGCTCCATTATCAGCCACTCTAAGAATACACAGAAATGAGACCAGAAAGTTCTCATTCAACGAATCCCCAATAAACCCGATTTTCTTATTCCTCATGAAACCCAGAAACCTCTCCGGATCGATACGAGGCAATTCGCAATCTTGAGGCACCCATTGCCAGAAACTGATGAGATCCATGTTCTCTCGGTTGTTCCTAATGCAGTTCCAGGCGTTTCTGTGGAAAGGGCAGGAGTCATCGTAGAAAGGTCTCGGGCGGTTGGAGGGCAGAACCCAGCTCCCGTTGAAGAGATTGCAGGGCTGCGATGATGAAAGATGCGGAGCGGAGTTGGAAGCAGAAGATGGCAACGAGTAAGGACTGAGGGCAAAAGAGTACAGATAGAGGAAGAGGATGGAGATGAAGACTAAATACGGAAGGGTTTGAAGAAGCTTTGGTTGCATTGTTGATTTGGATCCACCATCTGTGAACTCTCCGCAGGATCCATTATTATTTCCCCCATTTTATTTTAATGAAAAGGGCAAAAAAAAGATAATCCCTAATAAAGCCACGCGTGCGGTGGGAATTTAGGAAAAGCCTTCCAAAACTCTCAACTCAAACTCTGAAATTCTCACTCAGCGAGTTCCACCCTATTCTTCAGTATGGCCTTGAGAATCCATCAATGTCGTCCAAACCCACTCCTCCAACAAGCAAAGCTCCAAGCTTGGCCCCTTCCCAGCGGTAACCACTTACCCTACAACAGCAGGCCCAGAACCCAAATCCTCTGCACCAGGAACAAAAGCAGCTCTGGCGATTCCAATCTTGCCTCAGATTTTGCGATGCAAGTGTCGAGGATAAACACCAATCTGGCCCAGAAAGAGGAGGCAATGAAGAAGAGCAGGGAATTGCTCTTCTGCGAGCTCTGCAAGTTCTTGGATTTGGAAGAAGACAAGGTGAAAAAGACGTGGAGCGAAATGGAATTGGAGGATAAGATGGTACTGGTTAAAGGGTTCGTGGATGTGTGGGGTGCCAATTTCCACCCTTTATCTGCTAGGTGTGTTAAGGAATTGATTGAAGAGCACATACAGGAACAGAAGGATTCGAGTTCTGAGTTATCTTCTGCTTTCTTTCCCGGGTTGAGGAGGTTGATGGGATTCGCTACAGAATAAGCAGGCACAGAATGCTGTTTTCAGGTAACACCTTGATTTGTAATTGTGCTAAGTAACAATGGCGAATAGGACTAGGTGGAGTAGGATTTGCTACCACATTTTTTTGGCTTCCGTTGAGAAGATTGCGGTCGTAGATGCTGCTTCTGCACTGTCTTGTATTAGGTTTTGAAAGACTGCAGCTTTTTTAGTGATGCCTCAACTATGCACTCAATAATTCATTGCCTTGTGGTGTCGGTAGACATCTTGAGTACGTCAAATTTCAATTTGCATAAGAATTGTATGGATCTGGCATTTGTATTCCTTGTTGTTTCCGATGGCTGTAGAATTCATTCTCCAATGTGGGAAGGTTTGGTTGCAGTCATGAATCACGTAACTTCCTTCCAATACCTCCAAGTAACAGACTGCTTTTTTTCCATGTGGATTGCAGACAGCAGCAAATTCCATGATCGTTTAGCAGAAGAATAATGTATATGGTCTTGGTTTGGTTTGGTTTGATCTGTGAGAGACGTATGCATCAAGAAGAGAAACAAGGAGTGAAGTTATGAGTTTACACAGTTGGAGGGACTACCTGTCTGTCTATTACGAGACTTTTCTTCCTCGTTGTCGTTGTGGGTTGCCGCAGGGAACACGACAGGCAATCGGGCAAGAAGCGAATAGAAGAAGAGGAGAAACAGTTACCATTGTTAGTGGAATCTATCTGTAGCTTTGAGGAAAAGTTCCTCTGGTCAGCTTTTTCGGTTAGGAGCAATCGGACATGTACATGATTAAACTCTCCTGTTCCAGGACGATGACCTTCCGATTCCGTCATCTTCTCTGTTTGTTTCCCGCCTTCCATGGCCTGTATTGAGTCATCTTCTCATTCTGAAACTCATGCTTTTGCTTGCTAAAGGGTATTTGCGTTTACTTATTTCACATGGCATGGCACCATTTATGAACAACTCAAACCAAACAGATCCTAAAAACAATACAGAAGCAGCACTTTTTTAACTGCAGTTAGCCAGCCATAGAGCTTCATTTGACAATTCAAATCTACCAAGAAAAGAAAAACTTAATGGAGAGATGCAACTAGAGACTGATCGATTCGAACATCATGTATGAACGGGACTGTGCCAGATTTGGATCAACACAAACATCTTCCCAAGGGAAGATACGATGGTGTGTATAATATATATTCGCAATCCGGGCATATTTGTCAAGAATGCTTATATACAGCAGAAAGCAGGAGAAACCAGAAGAAGATGAAAAAGAATAATTTATTTTACCGGAGCTTGCTTCACAAAGAAGAAGCTCACTAGAAAAACAACTGCTTGCATTGCTCAAATGAAGCTTCAGCTGGACAGTTGGGGCATTTAAATGACCTGGAGCTGCTTTTAGACAACTTCATTATAGACTGTTTGCAGAGCACATGCATGCATGGCATCAGCATTGGTGGATTTTCTTCACTGCTCTGGTCTCTGCTAACGGGGCAAACGAATATTGAATGGAACTGGAACTCCTCAGGTAGATCTACCGGCACTGGCAACTGCTTCAATGCTTGCCATTCCTGCTTCTTTGCAGACATTACATTCGCCAGCTTCAGCAGAGTAGGTAGTCCTTCAATACCAGCTGCGATAGTTACGCACAATGGGTCTCTATTATAGGACTGTCCCAGAAGCTTGTGGAAATCACGGCTCAGCTCATCACCCAAACCTTCCCAATGGGTCAGACCCAATAGCTCGGAGTAGGGATATCTTTCCAGCTTTCCGCTCCAGAGCAGACAGACAGTGATCTTTTGGAACTCTTTCATGTAAACCCCAGAGAGAGGAGAAAGGTGAGTTTTCGCATAGTTGAGTGCGTTAAGGGTATCAACCCGACCTCCTCCCTTAAGGATCTCCATAAACTGCATGCTATGCAGCTTCAGATCAAGCTTCGATCCAAACTGCCGAAGTTTCTCAAGGTTTTTCGAGACCCAAATCAGAGCAGGCTCAATGTTTCTAGCCTTGATGGCATCCAGTATCTTACCCAGTTCCATAAACTGAGACTTCAAGGAAATCGCCTCTGGTTTTCCAGCCTCCCGTATCAGACAATCCCCAAGATCAAACAATCCTTGCCGGTAGAAATGGCAAGCTATTATCTGATTCACTATATGGAAATCAAAATCAACACTTCTGTATGCCTTGGATATGCCAGCATTCAGTGACTTGTCTAAAAGCTTCGGGTACTTTGCAAGGGTCCCATTCACATCCTTCTGCGGACCTTCTAGTTGGATCAGCGGACTCATTGTGTCGAGTTTGTGCTTTAGCTGCCTGAGGATGGCTTTCTGATCATCTGGAGGAATCAGATGGTCAACTGATTGGATTTTCTCTAGTGCTAACTCAATCTCGTGGCTGACTTGATCAATTACTTCCTGGGACTTTGATGAGGACAACTTCTGCTTCTTGGCGACACGATCAAATGCATCTCTTGCACTAGACAGCTCCATTTCTAGAGCCAAAACAGAGAACAATGGAAGAGAAATAAAAGAGAGAAGTGTGAAAATGCAATAAAAGACATTTCAGAGTCAGAGTACACAAAACACGTAGATACTGAATTGAAATATGGTAATTCAGAACAATCATCACAACCAATGATATGAATTAATCAGCATCTGGGCTACGCTGCAAAAAAACCTCAAGTACTTGATTTTAAAGTTTAGGTGCACCCATCGAGCAACGTTCCAACTATCCAACTGCTGACCCAAGCAAGCCTCAACTCTAGCTGAAGCATATGCTGAAGAATCATTCTAAAACCTATATGTTAATCTAACTGGGTAATGCTAAACCGAATACAATACGACCAAACGAAACAAGCAATTAGCAGGGCACCAATTCGCGCCATCTAACCAAAGATATAACTAACACACACCCTCGCCAATGTCCAACTTGCTCTTCACGGGCCCGGGCATATCACCCTTCAGAATGTGGTACGAAAATAACATCTCTCTTCTCTTCATCACAGATTCAAAAGCAAGGGTGCCATTCATCCACGACATTTATACAAACAACGACGTAAAGCATTCCACAAGACGAGCATGAATTCAATGTTTCAAACACCATAATTCGATCCCCACCCTCTTTCCCCACGATAAACTAGAAATTGGGAAGCTAGAAATTACCGACGATCTCTAGAAGGCAAACAGAGATCAATACAGAATTCAGCAGGGGAACGAAACACTGAAGGAACACAAATCGGAACGGATACCGACTGCTTCCGGATTTTCGCGGAATTCTCGTAGAGTCTTCCACAACGAAAGCAAAGGGAAGAAAATTCGCGGGGGGAAAAGACCGTACCTGTAGTCCCCCGTTGCGCGTTGCTGCGTTTCGGGAACGGAGATACAGAGTGAGAGAGACGAAGAAGCCAAGCGAGAAACGAGAGAGGGATGGAAGAACTGAAACTCTGTAGTCCGTATCGAATAAATCCAAATCCGGATTTTGAGAAGAAATAAAAAAAAAAAAAAAAAAAAAAGGGGGAATATGGGAAAATGCTTCTCCTTTAGTGGAGGCCGGAGGGCGTGTTTGTTAGTTGTTAGCGCTTTCTGAAAAATTACTGCAGAAATAAATTAAAATTTTGGAGACCGGTTTTTGTTTTATAAATTGATATGGAGTATCCTAACTTTCATTCATTACCAGAAAGGGTTCAGAAATCCTCTGAACATAGGATCGCTTGCAAGAAAAGAATGGAAATCCAGCAGCAAATAATGTTCATGACTAGCAAGATAGTTGACACACTTATTACCCTCCCTATAGACATAGTAAGAAAACAACCTCCCAATCGAGCCTACATAAAGCTTGGATACGATCAGTAATCGCGTTGCTACGAAGAAGCAGTTTCCAGATGATCCGCCAATCGAACTCTCTCAAGCTGCTCGTCGTTGACTACAAGGTCGTAGGCCGACCAAACCCGAAACCGGTCATCCGACTTTGGACCCCACGAGGCCATGTCCATCCCCGAGCCTTCAATAGGAGGTTGAACTCCTTGTACCTGTAAAATCAATTCTTCAAGGAGTAAAGGACACATAAGAGGGATGTCCCACTCACCCGAAGAAGTAACGAAATCCGCCATCGCACTTTGAAGATTGATTGTGGCGCGTCCTCCAGGATGTGATCAAAAAGGCGCTCCCCACTGTCATTCCACCAATCGTTCCAAAAGGATGTGGTTTGAGCATCCTCGACGCTCATGAGCATCCATGCGGACATGACAGGCCAGGCCTTGCAAATCCCTCTCCATAAAGTAGAAGACCGAGCGGCAGCTTTTGCCACCATATGTTCGTCACCATTTTGAAGTATTTCGCCTGAAGTACCTGCGCCCATAACTCCTCCGGGTTTTTCATAAAAAGAATTGCAAGTGTAGCCAAGAAAGCTAAATTAAGTTCACAAGCTTTCCTTAAACCAAACTCGCCCTCCTTCTTTCATCTGCAAATTGCTTCCCAATGCACCGAGAATCCAATTCCACCCTCACGCGTCTGTGTCCAAGATCTCATGCCAGTTGAAGTCCTTCCACATCACCTCTCAACTCTGCTCGGGTAATCGAACAAATCCTCAAGTTTTGTGTGAACGGTGCTGACACGCCAATACCGTCACACTAGAAAGTGGTCAAGTGTAACCACAAACTAATGCATAGTATAGCGAGTTTAGCTTTACTTGTCAACCCGGGTCCTAGATGTGATGACTACTCCGTGAACTTCTCGTTATTCAGTAGTTTGAACGTAGTGAAATTGTATTTAATCTAAGCGAACAAAAAGCAGTAAAGTTGTGATTCAAGTTCGAGAGAGGTCACCCTGATATGGTTCCCCCTAGATTGCAGTTAAGCAGAATTGTAATTCGCCAAGTTCAGATATAATGATACTTATACTGCGGAAGGTTCTTATTCAATCTGAAGTCTCAACTAAAGGTCCTGAGACCCTCCCGGTCTGAATACCCGACGGGCGACTAACCTCCACCAGAATAAACGAACTAATGCCCTAATGTGCAAAACCTCCTCTACCGGATCAAATCTAGTACAAAGCGGAGAATTGACTTCTCGACTAAAGTAGTCAGTTCACCACCTTCAATCAAGGGTTCTCTATCAACCTATGCATATATTCTCTTTCTAGGTCGAAGCAGAAACTACAAGAATGTGATCAAGACTCATGCAATTCTAAAATCATGCCTCAATTGAATATAATCTATATTAAAATGTCATGTACTTGGGTTCATAAAATCAAACCTAACATACAACTCTAGGGTTCTTCATACCCAAGTGAGAGAGGGAGTTTACTCCATAGAGCGAGAGAGGAAATCAACTTCAGATGTAGAAATCATCATGTAGAGGTTGGAATTCACCTTTTAGTTGTCAATCAGTGCTTCTCCAAGCTTCAATCGAGCTCCAATTGTGTCAAAACTTTATATAGGTCACCTTGGAGGATGGGTTTGTCATTTTCTCTCGCTAACTCTCAGTTTTTTCTCTAAAACTATGATCCCCTCTTCGCAAAACCAAAATTGGGTGAAAACCAAGATTTGCCCGATAACACGGACAACGCACAATCGTGTAGAATCTCGTGCCTGCCCGTGTAACTCCCAAAACGTGACGTTCCGATTAGTTTCACGTGGAAGACACACGGCCAGGATGCACGGCCGCGTGGAATGAAGCCTTTCCTGTGTAACTCCCCTGGGAAGCCCGCACGGCCAAAGAGCACCCTTACACGGCTAGTACGCCCGCATAAATTCATGCGCAAGTCACGTATTTTACTCAGCTTTCCATCGAATGTCCTAACTTCGTTCAATCAACCCCAAACTCGTGCCCACGCCTTCATTCACGTACTAGGACCTGAAATGTCACTAACAAGATCAACCTAGCATGAAATCGGTTTAAAACACGAGAAATGATTCTCACACAGTATAAGAATTGTGGGCAAAAATATGTGCAAATATCGAGTCATCTATCCCCCCACACTGAACCGTTTGCTTGTCCCCAAGCAAATCTGGCTCAAACCAATGTAACTCTCCAGACCTCTCCAACAACATGCAATCTCGGTCATAGGCAGAGGACTTCCTAGATTATTTAGCAGCTTACAAGGTCAACCAGTCTTCTAATACATTTCCTATTTCTCTCAATGCGAGTACTATACTCAAGCTAGGATCATGCGAAGCAGTGGACCTAGGACATACAATTCATGGATAAAGAGACTCACATAAGACAACAACCAAGGACTCTTCGTATCAGGTGCTCTTTCCATTCCATTTCCTTCGATGAAACCCCTTTTCCTATTGGTTTTCTCTTCTTCTTTTTTTCTTTGTTTCTACACTTTGTTTGGGTTCCAAACTGCAGTTTTTATGTGTGGTCGACCATAATTGGTTGAGCAAGAGTACTTCTTTTAACTTTTTTCATCAATTCGTGTGGAGGGTCAATGAAATTAAGGGGGGTTGAAAGCTTATCCGTGCCTTAATAACACATCCTCGAGTAGGCAAACCGTTCAACGGGTAGAATTTTTACTTGTATTAGAGATATCTTAGCTTCACCTTGTAGGACTCCCCACTAAGGATCACTAAAATCTCTTCCAAAACCCGATTTTTTGTGCAATGAACAGTGTCACACACGTTGTGCTTACCCCATGTTTAAAATTTAAAATTTTCAACATGGAGCACCAATTGCTTTTTCATTATGCACACTGAGCACCCTTCTATGATACTTGAGTCCACACACACAGCACAAGGAGAGTCATCGATACCATGTGAATCAAAGGTCCTATAACCACTAGTTCACACAATCAACCGACACAACAAAGGGAAAGATATGAAGGATCTTATACATTAACATCCTTCATAGTGCTACAACTACTTCCCTAGGTTGCATGGTACCATAAAGACTGTCAATTCAAAGCATACTAAGCAGGTGATTACAAGGAACACGCACTTGGAGCCCTCAAATCGAAATTTGGACAATGGACTAGGCTCTAAGCACGCACATAGTAAGCCCAATAAATACAAAACACCCCTCACTTAAGATCGACATTTCCCTCAATAGAGCAGAGTAAATAGAGTAGGGTGAACCGATGTTACCGAGAAAATGACAATAGTAGGCACGGACCAGAGCGAGGACCAGTCATCGGAAACACGAGACTGGAAGAGGGACCAATCGCTGTAAGAGAAGGTCTCAGAAACAACCACTAGCACATTGTTTGTTAGGGATAGTTGTCATCCCAAACGGACACACAAAGAAAAACGAAAAACAGACCAAACACACAAACGACGCAGTTCAGGCTCCGCAAACACATGGAGCAAACATAACACAAAAAAACACATGGAAGGGGCCGACGAGTACAGCCTACTCATCGTCGGTGATGTCTAAGTTGATGTCCCTCATGAAGTCATCGTCACTCGGCGGAGGTGGAGGCGATGGTAGTGGTGAAGTATCCCATGGGGTCTGCCAGGCGGGAGGATCGCTCATGACCTGATCAAGCAGGTACTGCTGAACCTCCTGCATCTTGCGGGCCCGGGCGCACTCACGCTAGATATGAGCGAAGGTTACACCCAGCTGAGCATCCATGCGGTCAAGGCACTCATCATACGCAGCCATGCGGGAGGTGTACTCCGCGTGATGGGCATCGTACTGCTCGTGGAAGCGAATCTGATGGTCCATGATTTGCTGGTTTTGGATACCTAGCTGCTGGAAGCGGAGGCCCATATGCTCGAACTGGTGGGAAAAGAAATCTTGAGACGAGACAGAAGAGCGGCTACCCCCATGCTCAAAGGTATTGTGATGGAAGGTCTGGTGGGTAACAGAGACATCCCCAGCCCCAGGCTCGGCATCCTACTCCATCTCCACTGGGTCAGGGATGGTCGATATGGGTAGTCCCTCGACCCACTTGACTCCACGTGATTCCTAAAGTAGCTGCATCTTGGAAACTGTGTCCTCCTCAAAAGACCATGTCCCGCCTTAGTCCGTGAAATCCTGGTAATCGATCTAAAGGTGGGTGGCCAGTATGGTGATAAGTGTAGTGTAGTGGAGGGTCCCAAGGGTAACAACACTCTAGGCGAAATTCTTCGCCAAAATGGACCCCAAGTGCAGCTTATGGTGGGCGGTGCAGAGCGAATGCATAAAGTAGAGGGACCGCTTGATCAGGGTGCTAGCGCTCTCGCTACTCGGAGCATAGGACCTCGTCAACAAGTGGCGGAGAAGACAATACTCGGTATGCAGCGTGTTAGCCTTCGTCCGACCGGCGGTGAAACCCTCAGCGGTGGTGTCGTAGGGTGGTCGAGCAAGCTGGCAGTAACAGGTTTGGAAAGAGACACCGGTCGGGTTGGCAACCTCGACGTCGAAGTCATGAGTGTAGTCGGGCATGAGGCCGAAGGCAACAACAAACTCGTGGTAGCTCATGGAGTGGTAATCTCCGCCCAACTGGAACTTGATAGCATCA